TGCCACTTTACTTGTTGGTAGTCATAATGTTATGGCTAATGAATTTTTAATGACTGCAAATATCTGACGAAGTGATTGATCAGTGATCATTTCTTTACTCGTGTGCTTGTTCATCTGTCTGTAGTGGTGGAAAATATCTCTAACTTATTTAACAGTTTGTTTTTTGCCTCTATTAGTCAATCCCATTTATGTTGGCAAAATATCTCATAAACATAAGCGTAAGGTTCAAGGTGACTTCAATGTCGTTCGCATCACATGTGGTACATGAGGTGGAATGAAATTGTTTACACGGTCCCAGTTACACCCCAAAATCCATAATGCTGTTTTTTTCTTTTCTTTTTAAAACTAAATGTTTTTGACTCAAACAACAAAACATTTAATTTTTTCTTGAAGAAAAATATCTGCTGAGTCATTTTTAGCTTTGAACAGTCAACAAATGTGAATTCAAAGTCTCTTTGTAGCTGGCAACCAGCTGAGCACTTCACTCTCAGACTGCAGGCTTACTCGTAGTTCCTAGAGTTTCCAAAAGCAGAATGGGAGGAAGATCTTTCAGTTCTCAGGCTCCTCTCTTGTGGAATCTACTTCCAGTTTCTGTCCGTGAGGCTGACACATTGTCCAGTTTTAAGACTGAGCTTAAGACTTTCCTTTGTTGATAAATCCTATAGTCGGCTTGGTTTCCTGACCTATTCCTTATCCCATGCTGCTACCTTAAGACTACTTGAGGACGAATTCCCTTAATGTCATCAAATGAATGGTTACAAATACACATACAAATGAATAGTTTGTATTTGTAATTATTCTTTCCTAACATGCGATTCTGTCTTTTTGCCTTTCCTCCTAGAGAAAACATGATGGCCTCCATCCTGGACCTGCCATTGTGTATCTGTTCCTCCTTCCTGTTCCTCTCAAACCCAGCTGATCGAAGCAGATGGCCGCTTGTCCTGGGCCTGGTTCTGCTAAAAGTTCTTCCTCATGAGGGAGTTTTTCCTTTCCACTGTTGCCATCGTGCTTGCTCAACAAGGCCGGCCTGAGGCATAAGCATCATAAGTGGCTGTTTAGGGCCCCTGCGCCATTAGGGGGCCCCCTAAGTGGAATTGATTTTTAAATATTTTAAAATTATTTTTATGATTCTTGTTAGAAAGACCACATTGTTTATATGTGGTTAGTTTGCTTGCTGAGCTAAGTTCTGTTTGACTGTAGCTTGTTTTTTTCTTAATTTCATGATTCCTACGTTATTGAATGCACCATGGTGCTAGTTAACGCATCATTCTGTGTAAAGTGCGGTGCTGCGTGCAGTACAGTCATTTTCTCTCCCAACACGGACGGACCTTTGTTTTTTGAGCCTCTGTTGTTGGTTTCCAGCTTTCCTGCTGTGTGTAGATGACAGAAGGTGAGCCTAATGATGTCGTAACATTTAGTCTGGATGTTTGTCTGTAATTTGAAATGATCACACAACGTTAACTTGTAAATATGTATCAGTTTATTACAGTTAAAAAGATGTATGTACATATAGAACATTACAGAACATTGTCATCTTCATTCGTTTGCAGAGCAGCACTCTGCTGCTAGTTTTAAAGACAACTGTCTTACAATAGGGCGGCGTTGATTAAGGTCGTCATTTACAGCCAAGTCAATAAATCGGTGCGCGTTTCCCGTTTCTCGGTTGCTATTTAAGTCCTAATGGAGGCGTATATATTAGAAAACAAGAGAACGAAGCTTTGTAACGGAAAAAAAAACGTAATCTGCTGTTCAAAAACGTAGGAACACCTCAGACTGGATCTCGTGGAGGTAGTCGTATGTGCATCTGCTCACGCAGCCAAGAAAAAAAAAAAAAAGTCTTTTTCCGTGTTTAGTCTGAACGAAACATGAACGAAAGTAAAGAAATGATCTTTTTTTGTGAAACCAAACGGTTGTAAAGGTTCTGCTTGTTGCACTTGGGGCTGCCGTGTCGGTGTATGGAGATGCGATAAAAAATGTGATGCACGTCAACAAGAAGTGGGAAAAGAGCAGGCAGCTGCACATTAAAGGGCCATTCCGCAAAGAAACAAGGTTCAACCTCAAACGTGGTATTTTATGAAACAAGGTTCAACCTCAAACGTGGTATTTTATGAAGCAGCTGTGCGCTGTAACGATCAACATCATGTAATAAAACAAAGTCTTTCTTTAGAAAACAGCCTCTCTGAGCTCTAGATATGACAAACTCCACATTCCATAATAATAGTCAACAATTAATTCAGCCTTAAACTGCGACCACTCAAACCTGATATGACTCATGAACAGAAACTGAAAAAGCTCTGCCTTCACAAAACAATAATGCAAGTTGTTGGTGGAGCTCCCCTTTAATGCTAGATGGGTGAGACACAAGCACATCCACCATGTAGCGTAGCATCTTCCAATGCACCGAAACCAGATGTTGTAATACTGAGCCTAACATCAGATTCCTGTACGGAGTAAAAGAAAGAAAAGACAAGGTTCTAATTTACATCGTAGAACGCCCTGTTGCTCGTCATCCAGTACAGTCGGTGGCCGTAGACACGATGAACACAGAAAAACACCATTAAGGCTGCTCGTCAGTGTTAAGCACAAGCATTGGCACACAATGCGTCGACACCCTTTGCAATATACAAAAGAAATGGGGAGCATTTGCAGATGCACCCACTTGGCGAAGCCACCAGGAACGCCCGATTCTGACCCGGACATACCGTCAAGATGCGTCCGAACATGCCGGTACAACAGTAACCAGGCGAGAAAACTTCAAGAAAAATGAGAGGAGCAAAACAACTGTGGTCCAAAACAGCTAATTAAAAAAAAAAAAAACACAAATAAACCAATTCATTTGAACGCACCATGTTTGATCTAGCAACACCTGGAGCTGAATGAACCAGTGGGTGAGCTTCTCTTCCACATGACGGAGGGATGCTCTCCAAGTCTGCAGCCTCCTCTCGTCTCCATATACTGCCACTGAACATGCTGCAACACGACGGGTGGAAAAAGTTCAAACTGTATGTAAAAATGGGTCACAGCACTCATGCTGCATACCTAATGCACATCTCACTATCGAGTACTCAAAGGCATGTTTTTTTTCCAGACAATTGCTTAATACACAAATAAAGAAACTTCCAAAGCTCTTATAGAAAACCCAGGAATGCAATGCCTCTGGTGTGTTGAGCGTGAACACAGAAAGCCCTTTTTACAATTTTGTCTTTTTTTTTTTTTTTTTTACAGTCTTGTACTAGAAACTGCATTAAGCTCAAATATGCACCTTGTTGTTTCGTCATTGTTGAGTCCAAACGATTTGATCTGCATTTAAACCACCAGGGCCCAATGTAAAAAAAAAAGAAAACTGTGGGTTTGTCCTTTGTTAGGTGTTGGAGCGAAGTTTGTCTCCATGTTGGGAGCGGATCGTTGTCCCACCTCCATCCGTCTTCAACAGCTTGTGTTTAAGTCAATGAAAAGCAGCAACAGGTTCTGCTGGTAAATTAGAAGCAGCATTTCATTGTTTGTTCCCACCCTCCCCCTCAAAAAAAATTGGACCCCCCCGCAAAAAAAAAGAACTATGGTGACATAAGTCTGAACCACAGCTCAGTGAAACCTCAAGCTGCTGCAAACCTTCACATATTTCAACACAAACTTGAATTAGGACTGAAATATCAAAGCAATTAAATTAAATTTAAATAAATGGTTTCTTGGGGGGGGGGGGGGGTTAAAAATACAAAATGAATACAGGTTTAATCATTTAGGGGGAAGAACGTTTGTAAAGATAAAATAAAAAGGGTTATTTAACTGCAATAATCCATTTACCTAAAATAAAAGCAGGATATGGAAAATAGAAAAGGTTTTACAGCCACTTTTATAGTTCAAGACAAGTGATCTCCTTTAATATCGTCACCAAAATTACTAGAATATTCTGACTTCCAAAATCAATATGTATATTTAATGGATACAAATTTACATGTCAAACCTTTTAACAAAACTTAAAAAACAAAATGCCCCCAATTCAAAAGAAGTCATAGAAAGGATGTCAATGGAGGAAAAAAAAAAAAAAAAAAAAAGTGCATAAAAGCAGCAGCATCGTTGGGACAGTGTGGCACAAAAAATATATTTAACTAAATCACAAATCTACACAAATCATTTCTGTTGGAGACTCTGTCAAAAACATTGGAAAAATTAGATTTTTAAAATTACCTGTTGATGATTTATTATCAAATCTTTTTGAAGCTTGGATACACTCACCATTTGCTCCAGAGACTCAAAAAATATCTTAAAAAACGTTTGATATGTTGGTCAATGATCAACTAGATGATGCTATGAAGCCCAACACTGGAGAGAACGTCAACCAAGTAAACAGAAATAAAAATTGCACTGAAGGCAACAACCAGAAATTGTATACATATATATAAAACATCCATCTTTTCCTTGGAAATTCCCCCCACCCAATACCCAGAAGGACCCACTATAACAATCTTTCAGATTAATAAAATAAAATAAAATTTAAAAAAATCAAATCTTTCCTCCCAAGCATGTAACGATTGGCATTTATCATTTGTATACACGACTAGCTTAATGACTAACTACTGCTGCTAGTTGTTAAAAAGAATCTTCATATTTTACAACTAATATCACTTGCACAACAGATTAATGCAAAAGATACACTTAAAAAATTAATAAGCAATCAAAAAAACAAACATGAAATAATTTATGTCTTTGTCTCTTCATGGTGAAATCTGTTTAGAAATGAACCAGCGGATCACTCTAAACATAGGCACAGTTAAAAAAAAAAACACCCATTAAAAAAAATAATAAAACATTAGACCTTTGTTCTCTATGACCAAGCAACAATTAACATAAGTTATGAACGGGGAAGATTATGATAAAAAAAAAGAACCAGAGTATCAAAAGAAAATAAATCAAGATGACAGAGTTTAAAATTACAGCAGCAGCAGTAAATAAAAAGTCCCAAAAGACGTTTTTGTTTTTGCATACAGTTGTATCCTTGCTCACATAACGGATGCTGTAATTATATACATTGGCAATGGAGCGTGATTTCAAAAGTTGAAGGACTTCCCTCGCAGCTCGCAGTTAGTATATATAACTTTACATATCCTCAGTTTTGGCAAAACAGATGGAAAGATGTTCCTCATTTATGATTCAGAATGTAAGGGGGGGGCGCGGCGGTGGCTGGGGTCATAACTGACCAGGATAAACTCTGGAGCAACGTAGAAATCTCCACAGATATGCCTCGTTTCTGCACAAAGATGGAGAACAAAACCTTGCTCTCTTCAAACTCGCTCTTTACGTTTGCCCCCGACACTGATTGTGATGAGTTGGTTTCCTTGAAGGTGTAGGATACACGTTTTGGGGGCAGGCAGGCAAAAGGGCACAGAGTAAGCGGAGGGGTTGGAGATGGCACTGAGCTGCGTTTGGTTCAGACCATGGCACGGTACGGTCCCTGCATCTTGAGAAACTGGATGATGAAAGAGGGACCTCCTGCGACAATCTGGGGCGGCAGGTGGGTGAGGGGACAGTTCTCGATGCTCATGATGGACAGCTTGCTGCAGAGGGCGAGCTCAAATGGGAGGCTATGCAGATTGGGGTTGTCGTTGAGGTACAGCTCCTCCAAATTCTCCAGAGTGCCTAGAAACATTAAACAGTGTCAGATGAATCATCTTCTCCAACCCATGCAAAACAAGGTTTGACACTGACAGCAGTAAGAGTGGCAATAAATCATACAAGTATAGAGTAACGATTGTAAAAACTTTGTTCTGGAAAATGTTTACCAATATATCTCCATGCATCTCACTGTGCAGCAATTATGAAAAAAAAACTGAAGAAAATTAGACAAATTTTCTGTTGCAGCCTCGGTGACTTCAGGGTGTTTGCGGCCAAGCAGCCAGCGAGCCGTGCTGCCACGTTGTGAAAATACAATAGTCCCTCGCTACTTCGCGGTTTGACTTTCGCAGACTCACTCTACGGTGTTTTTTTAAAGTAAGATTGAAAACGAGGAAAAATAAAAGATTGTACAGGACACATGATTGTCAACTTTAATATTAATCACGTGATTGGGACAGTGCTGGATACAGTACTGAACAGTAAAAAGTAAAAAAAAATAAAAAATTTGTTTGGACAGGCGCCACCACTTTGTAGTTTTCTCTCAATAAGCCTCCACTGTATCCTGCTCATAATGACCACATTTCCCAGAAGTCAACAGGGCCCTGCTCAGAAGCCCCGTTTCCTTCTGCTGAAAAACTAGAGGGAAAGTTTTGATCTGATCCGAAAAAGTTTGGCGCTTATTACAGTGACTTCGGTGCCCAGCGGATGCAGAGAGCCACACAGAACCCACCGAACTGGGGCAGAACCAGACCTCCAGACCCATCTGTGAATCTTGACAGGTGGTAGCCGGTCCACGAGGATTTCCGAGCAGGGACACTGCTTGTAAGTAAAATTTAGTAGCTAGATTAGGGGTGTATACTGAACCGAGGTTCTTTTATGGCACAGACCGAACTGCGTTGGTCGGTGTATGGATTGAAACGTCACTCTTCTTTCGGTGTCAAGTTTCGGTATTGGCTGTAAAGTGTCACGTGGTATCAGCACGCAGCAGGTAAAACGCAGACATATGACAAACAGACTACGTGTGTACACCCAGAGCTGTATAGAGCTGCCCTACAGCTGTATGTCTACGGTGCTGGTTACGATCACAGACGGGGTTCACGTGTGCAACGCATGTGGCGTTGAACGGCTTTAATTTACAAGTGGAAAGTTGCTAGTTCAGTCCGGCCCACCAATGAGTTCATTAAAAGGGGGGGGGGGGGGGGTACAGCTGTCATTTTTAAACCGAACCCAAAACCGGCAATGTGATTAATGGGCAGGCTGGGCCGGTCACGGGCTATTAATTAGGTCAGGGTCAGCCGCGATCCAATTATATGATAACATGGCCTGCCATACACCCACCAGCCACACACGGCCATTTCACCTCGAGCTGACCGGCCTTGAAAGAGGTAAGAAGTTCAGTTAAGCTTCAGATGGGACTGTACTGCCAGGCAGCGATCCATTGCCCAAATGGACGTTCATTGTGCCGCTGCACTTTGTGGACGCACGCGGCCGACGACCCAAACAGGGGAGATCTCAAAGCAGACGCATGAGTCAGAGCGTGTCTCAGTAATTCAGACGAGCGCCGGCAGAAATGGGGTTTCAATTATTTTTTATGGCCATGAAAGGACAAACACCCTCAGCTCAGAATCTTATGCTGCTTTTATTCAGCTGCGCGTCCCCGACTGTTAATAACTAATTAAAAATGTTGGGGGGTTTTCCGGGTTCGGACCTGTAATTACTGCCAATTTATCGGGTCAGGTAGGGTTCGGAAATTATGACTGCGGGCTGAGGCCGGGTCAGATCAGATTTTTTGGGCCTGAATGCAGCTCTAGTTGGGATTTGCGTTTTGGGTTCTGTTTATTGCATTTATGGTTCAATGCAATAAAACTTATTTAAAAGGTAACAGATCATTATAATACTTGGTTTATTTACATAATTACTTTGCTAGATGTCCGGCCCCTGAGCTGCTGGCTTTCACTAACTGTGCAGTCTTTGAGGGACAGCGCTGTGTTGGTGAATCAACTAGGGACTTCCTAACTCTTCCCGAATGTTTGCGCTGAAGATATCAGTGCTGTGAACAGAAAATACTGACCAATCTCCTCTGGCAGCTGTTGCAGCAAGTTCTCACCCAAACCAAGATGGGTCAGGTTGGTGAGGTGGCCGATGCCTCTGGGTAATGTAGTTAGCTGATTATTTGTCAACACCAATTTCTGACAAGAAAAAAAAAAAGAGAAAGAGAAACTCTTTAACAGCACAACCAAAAACACAAACAGTACTTGTTTACGCTTAAAAAAAAAAAAAAAAAAAAAAACTTAAAACAAATTGGAAAGTATCACAAGTCAGTTATTGAAGTTGGATTTGGGAAGTTTAGTTAAAGCGCTGCAGAATAATGAGTCATGTTTACCAATTGGATATAATTACAAAATTAAAAGTTTGTTTAATTGTGTAATAATCTACTGCAAAAATAACTAGTTATTAAAAATTCAATAACTTCTTGTTGTTAAGAAATTCAATTCAATTCAGTTCAGTTTATTTATATAGCGCCAAATCAAAACAAAGTTGTCTCAGGGCACTTTACAGAAACATTCACATACATAAAAGACAATTACTAAAGTTCTCCATGTAAGGAATCCAGCAAATGAATTACAAAAGTAGCCAGACTCGTTTACATGTTTGCATAAATTAAATTGAATCTCTTACATTTATTATGAAGTCAACAAATGGTCTTCAGAACTCTAGTGTAACCTTTAATAGAAGCTCTGGTGGCAACACAATCTAATTGTTCTAGCAGGTTTCCACAAGTCAAGATAGAGAGGTAGAAACAAGGTAGAGGATTGTTTATCAGTTTAATTTTTTATGTTAATCAGACTCAAGAAGACTCCATAAACGGCCATAGTCACGTCTCTCTACAGGTTTTTAATTGGCTTTAGACATTACGATGATGATGATATAAGTTCTAAAGGCTTTCTAAAGATCTATCAAAGAATTTGTCCTGCTTTAACTTCATTTTTTACTTCTTGTTTATTCACTATAGTTGGTGCTAGATCATGGCAGCATGGTGGCTCAGTTGGTAGAACTGTTGCCTCTGAAGGTCGCCTAGCTGAGGACCTTTCTGGGTGGAGTTTGCATGTTCTCTCGGTGCATGCGTGGGTTTTCTCCGGGCACTTTGTTTCCTCCCACAGACCAAAAACATGCATGTTAGACTGGTAGGCCTGTCACGATAACAAATTTTGCTGGGCGATAAATTGTCTCAGAAATTATTGCGATAAACGATAATATTGTTTGAAATTTGACAATAATTGGTAATTATTGTCAAATTTAAGAAGAAATGTTGGTTAATTTGTTTTGAGTGTAGTACCTTTTTTCGACCATGGATGGCAGTATAAAACTGAACCAAAGGATGGATAGTTAAGGAGCGAGCAGCGCGTCTCTAAGAAAAAATGGGAGGGAGGCCCCTTGACGTGACATGGGCTGTCTCTCCTTCCCTTTTTTCGGTTCTCAAAATGGCGGACGCTCTGTGTGGTTTGAGCTCTTTAGCATAGCATTTTTCACACAAAGCTTTTAATAAATAAAAAAAATCAGTAAACAAGTTCTCAGCTTCTTTTTGCAGAGGAATAACAACTTTTTACATGAAGGCACGGGTTTCAACCATGAATTTTGGAGCTTCGACAAGACGGAGGTTTTTTTACAAGAAGTCTGCCTGTTCGCTTAGCTTCTCAGCTTAGCTACTTTTAATGATCCAAAAACGTAAATTTGGATGTTTAAAACAGATTTTAAAGAGAAAAGAGAAAGGGATGGGTCAGTGAAGTGCACCGGAGTTGAGACTTTTATCATCCATAGTCTTCTGTAGAAAGAGACACGAAAAAACGATAAGAAACTGATAAATGAAAATGAGGTTGATCATTTTCATCTATCACGCGATTAATTGATTTGTTTATTGCGACAGGCCTACTGATTGGTAAAGCTAAATTGTCCCTAGGTGTGAGTGAGTGAATGTCTCATTTGTCTCTGTGTCCCTGTGATGGAGTGGAGACTTGTCCAGGGTGCCCTCCACCTCTCACACAGTGATAGCTGGATATGGGCACCAGTGACCCCTGTGACCCAAAAAGGAAGACGCGAGTAAAGATAATGGATGGATGGTGCTGATCTATCTGTTTACTATGGTTTTATGTTTTTTTTTTTTTAATTAATTTTATTCCTTTTCAATTGTGGAAAATTTTCTATGATACTTTTGTATGCTACGTTTTCTTATTTCTTATCAAGTTTTAATGCATTTTTACCATATGTATGTTTTTTTTTTTAAATCATAGTATACACCAAGTCCTGGGTAACTGTTTTTTATTAGTTTTGTTTGTTCGTTTTTCCTTTTACCATGTAAAGGTTTGAATGACAACAAAGTAAGTTGGAATCTTTTTTCTTTTTTAATCATTTTTATTTCCCTCGCATATAAATAAAGTAGCGATCGATTCTCGTACCTCTTCATTTTCAGAAGAATGTGTTTATTATTACAAAGCCACCTAAAACCAGTCAAGAATTAAGTTTCATCACACTATGATAAACCACAATGCGTCTGAAAGAATTCATAAATTATAGCAAAGCAAACTGAAAATGTACTTGAGGCACTCTCCCTGGCTGCCTGTTAAAGAGAAAATGTGCTACAATTTTGTACAAGTCAATGCTTTATAAAAATCCAACATAACCATTCCCACATGTCCATAGTACTGTAGTACTACCATCAGAGACCACTCTCACTGAAGGCCTACGTTGAATTTGAATTGGTTTAATGGATCTATGAATTTGACTTCTTTTTGATTTTGTATAGTGCCCTGAGATGACTTTTGTTGTGAACTGGCATCACATAAATAACCTGAACTCAATTATACTTTAGTCACATGGTCAAAGTTATGAAGTCTGACTGTTTGGCACAGCAAACCAGTAAAAGAACTCGGTAGAACCAGTGTGTAACTCTGCAAAAATGTGTCTCAAATGGCTCTGAACAACGGTAATGTCATAATATGGTAATAATAATACAGTTCAGATGTGTAAATGTGTTGTAATTCTTCAGGAGACATCAGCAGACATTGTTGCTCAGCTGATAGCACACTGCGTGTATTTATGTACAAAGCACATAGTTGGCATCGGATCATAAAAACATTTTGTAGTACACAACTAACAGCCAAGTGTGAACGCTCCCGATCAAAGCTGACCACTTGTGATCAAATTACTCAAGATGGATAAGTGCCAGGTCTGAACAGGGACACAGAGAGACCACTCTGACCACAAACCTTCCTACACTGGTCTGATAATAGTTAGTCAACCTTAAGAGTACATTCTTCTTTTTTTTCACCACTAATGAGGTGCTCCTGTAACCACTCTAAACTTTAAAAAACTATTTATTGTGATAATTGTGATCTAAATCCACAGATTCAAGTATGTTTGCAAGATGGAACTCGTACTCCTCTTTGTAAAAACATGCTTTAAATCATCCAGGATTATGCAAACATTTCAGACACTTCACACATTTGCATTTTATCTGTCACGCAATGTAATATAATTTGTCCCATATTTATTCTGCGGCATGGCAACAAGCCCACACGTCCAGGCAGAGTCATAAAAACCTATCTTCAGTGACAAGAAGAACACAGAGTCCTGCAACAGATGGGTTGACCCCCACAGAGCACAAACGCAACGTGCCAAACACCTCAAAAATCTACAAGTGTATAAAAAAAAAAAATAGTGAGGCTTATAAGGCATAATTTGATATAATCACACAATAAAAAAATGCTTTTTTTAAATGTCTGAACTGTTTTACATCAAGTTTGAAGATAGAAACGCCCTGTGATGCAATAAACATTGCAAAATGTGAAGGGGTCTGCACACTGGAAGCCAAAGCACTGTCCATCCCGCCCAACTGCAATGACTATCTAATGAACAGACAGCATGTAAAATAATCTGCTCTTTAAAAACTAAATCATCATCATTATTAAAGCACATTTAAAAACCGCCAGAGTTTGACCAAAGTGTGGTAATAAATCCCAAAATCAGAGTCTAAAGAAATGCTTTGTACAGGTCCTTCTCAAAAAATTAGCATATTGTGATAAAGGTCATTATTTTCCATAATGTAATGATAAAAATGAAACTTTCATATATTTCAGATTCATTGCACACCAACTGAAGTATTTCAGGTCTTTAATTGTTTTAATACTGATGATTATGGCATACAGCTCATGAAAACCCAAAATGCATGTCCCAAAAAATTAGCATATTTCATCCCACCAATGAAAGACAAGTGTTTTTAATACAAAAAACGCCAACCTTCAAATAATCATGTTCAGTTATGCACTCAATACTTGGTCGGGAATCCTTTTGCATGAATGACTGCTTCAATGCGGCGTGGCATGGAGACAATCAGCCTGTGGCACTGCTGAGGTGTTATGGAGGCCCAGGATGCTTCGATAGCGGCCTTAAGCTCATCCAGAGTGTTGGGTCTTGTGTCTCTCAACTTTCTCTTCACAATATCCCACAGGTTCTCTATGGGGTTCAGGTCAGGAGAGTTGGCAGGCCAATTGAGCACAGTAATACCATGGTGAGTAAACCATTTACCAGTGGTTTTGGCACTGTGAGCAGGTGCCAGGTCGTGCTGAAAAATGAAATCTTCATCTCCATAAAGCTTTTCAGCAGATGGAAGCAGGAAGTGCTCCAAAATCTCCTGATAGCTAGCTGCATTGACCCTGCGCTTGATAAGACACAGTGGACCAACACCAGCAGATGACATGGCACCCCAGTGACTGTGGAAACTTGACACTGGACCTCAAGCAATGTGAACTCTGTGTCTCCTCTCTTCCTCCAGACTCTGGGACCTTGATTTCCAAAGGAAATGCAAAATTTACTGTAATCAGAGAACATAACTTTGGACCACTCAGCAGCAGTCCCAGGCGAGATTCTTCTGACACTGTTTCTGGTTCAAGAGTGGCTTGACTTGGGGAATGCAGCACCTGTAGCCCATTTCCTGCACACGCCTGTGCACGGTGGCTCTGGATGTTTCTACTCCAGACTCAGTCCACTGCTTCCGCAGGTCCCCCAAGGTCTGGAATCAGCCCTTCTCCACAATCCTCCTCAGGGTCCAGTCACCTCTTCTCGTTGTGCAGCGTTTGCTGCAACATTTTTCCCTTCCCACAGACTTCCCACTGAGGTGCCTTGATACAGCACTCTGGGAACAGCCTATTGGTTCAGCAATTTCTTTCTGTGTCTTACCCTCTTGCTTGAGGGTGTCAATGATGGCCTTCTGGACAGCAGTCAGGTCGGCAGTCTTACCCATGATTGCGGTTTTGAGTAATGAACAAGGCTGGGAGTTTTTAAAAGCCTCAGGAATTTTTTGCAGGTGTTTAGAGTTATGTCGTTGATTCAGATGGTTAGGTTAATAGCTTGTTTAGAGAACCTTTTCATGATATGCTAATTTTTTGGGACAGGCATTTTGGGTTTTCATGAGCTGTATGCCATAATCATCAGTATTAAAACAATTAAAGACCTGAAATATTTCAGTTGGTGTGCAATGAATCTGAAATATATGAAAGTTTCATTTTTATCATTACATTATGGAAAATAATGACCTTTATCACAATATGCTAATTTTTTGAGAAGGACCTTATATGATGAAGGACAAAAACACAGATTTTTAGTTTGGTCTATCAAAGACAAATCGACCACTTGTTCATTTTCTTACTCTTAGGAAATGTTAACAACAGTGTGGAGAGATACATTCCTGCTGCGTTTTATTTTTTAAACATGAATATAAAAAAAATTATGAAACCAGAACTGTCCCCATTTCTTAATTTCATCTTGATAACCTTTTATTTATTTATTTTTTACTCTGAGCTGGAAATGTCCCCAGATTTAACTTCAGAAATCTGGTCACCTTAACATGGAGGGAGCTGCCATGTTTGAACTGACATCAGACGGAAGCAATGGATTCCACATGCTCAGCGTTAGTCCCGCCCACTGAGTTTGATGAGTAAGACTGACAGTTAACATAATTTCATGATGACACAAGGGTGGAATGTCACTAAATTAAATGTGAATAAATCATGAAATAAATAATTTAATTGTATATTTAATAATTTAATTGTATATTTAATGGTGTGTTTAATAGTGTAATTGTTTATTTAATGATTTAATGATTTTTTTTTAAATAATTAAATGATACATTTCATTATTGTGTATTTATGCATTTCTTTTTGTCACATTCCATCCGTCCTCCATAGAAATGAAGAAATAAGCCAAAATATATTAAAAACAAAACCAACATTTATATTCTTCAAAGATATGAACAACAAAAAGCACAGCATGCAAGGAAAGATTACCTGTAAATCTTTTAGGTAAGCGATTTCAATCGGTAGACATTCCAACTTATTTTCCTCCAAGTCGAGTTCTCGCAACTTTCTCAAATTCCCAATACCATGCGGTAACTTTTTCAGAAGGTTATTGGACAATATTAACACCTGGAAGACAGAAAAGTAATTCAAATTAAAGACAGAAATGTCTTGAAATAAATGAAAAGTGTAGTATTATTTTCTAAACCACTCACAAAAACACCAACAAAAAAATTGCTTGTTTTAAGTTAATACCAAACAAGTCATAGTAAAATTCCCCAAAGTGTGACAAACTGTATGAATGAAATTTTGCTATAAGATCTCAAGATTTATACAAAACCTGTGTTAAGTTTACCACGTGTTTCAGGTATTAACAACAGTTCCAAAAACTCACAGACTTACAATGCGATTCATGCTCATGACATAAATCACTAGTCTTAAGTGTATATTAAATCAAACTCCCAGTTAATTATAATTTTCACTAAATTGTATGTACATCTGTGCATGATTTACCTCTAGAGAGACGAGACCACAGACATCTTCTGAGATCTTAGTCAGCTGATTAGTGGCCAGGTTAAGTTCAACCATGCTGGTCCATGTGCCAAAATCCAGTGGCAGAGATGTTAACTGGTTATCCTGTAGAATAAAATGGGAAAGCTTTAATGTCATCAAAAGGTAACTCAGCTCATGGAAAATCTTTTTAAAACATCAGCAGAGGAAGGCACGGTGGCATGTACAATGCATGACAGGAGAAAATATATTCAGATAAGATGGTACTAGCATCAACAGAAATGCTTTCCAAATACTAATAATACACAGAGGTTGAAAAAAATACTAAATTATGTTTTTATACATATAACTTTCAACTAGTGAGGAAGCCCTAAATTAGTGTACAAAATTGCAAATGCTCAAAAATATATGTGCATATACTAAGAGCTTTTTAGACTCTCCTCTTAAATTATATTTAAAAACAAAAGTAGAATAGCCAGTATTTATATTTTCTGTACCTCTTAGCATATTTTTTTCAACAAATAAAGATCCATTCAAGACACTGTTCTGTGTAAATGTAAATAAATGTAATTTTTTCCCCCTTTTCTATCCAAAACAGTTTTCTGAAAAAAGGACACAACACTCCAGTAATAGCAGCAACATGCACTCCGCCCATCTTTTGGACGACTGAACAAACATAATTTCACTGTATTTCAGTACAATGATAACAAAGTCTAAATAAGTTAAATCTGGTCCTCTGGACATTCAAACAAACAAAAAATAAAATAAAATGTAGAAACGTTTCGTCTTTCATCCGAAAGACTTCTTGAGTCTGAGGTGTTGTATTCAGCACCGTTAGGCGGATGGTCCTTCTTGATCATGTGAGCAGCTGGTTTTGGTTGTCAGCAGCAAACTGGTTGATCCACTCTGAGAAGGTGCTATTTATAAGACTGAGCTGAATACAGCACCTCAGACTGAAGAAGTCTTTCGGATGAAAGACGAAACATTTCTACTTTTTTTTTGTTTGTTTTGCTTTGTTTTGTTTTTTGAATTTCCAGAGGGCTAGAGTTAACTTTTTTTAGATTTTTCTACCTGGATTATTGAGCATGCATCAGAATGATAATAACACTTATTCTGATTCTTAACTTCACATTCAGCTAAGCCACATGAACAATACTGATGAGGTTAGTGAATTCACCATCTTTGAGTTTATTTCTTTAAGTTGTAAAACATGGATTTTTTTTGTGTGACAGCACATTTACTGTAGTTTTGACTCAGTTTGTCTGATTTAAGGACAACAATACTGTTTCTGAAAGAATTCAACATTAACAGATATTCAATTTAACAGACTGTTTTTGACAGAGTACAACACTGCAGGTCCATGCTGCTAATAGAACCTCACTGCCAACAGAACCACACTGCTAACAGTACCATGCTGTTAAGAGAACCTCACTGTCAACAGAACCATTCTGCTAATAGGACTATGCTGCTAACAGAACCACACTGCTAACAGTACCATGCTGTTAAGAGAACCACACTGCTAACAGAACCATGCTGTGAATGGGACCATGCTGCTAAGAGAACCTCACTGCCAACAGAACCACTCTGCTAAAAAGACTACGTTGTTAACAGTATCATGCTGCTAATGGGATTATGTTGCTAAGAGAACCTCACTGTCAACAGAACCGCTCTGCTAATAGGACTACACTGCTAACAGAACCAGACTGCTAACAGTACCATGCTGTTAAGAGAACCACACTGCTAACAGAACCGTGCTGCTAATGCAATCATGTTGCTAAGAGAACCTCACTGTCAACAGAACCACTCTGCTAATAGGACTATGCTGCTAACAGAACCACACTGCTAACAGAACCGTGCTGCTAATGCGATCATGTTGCTAAGAGAACCTCACTGCCAACAGAACCACTCTGCTAATAGGACTATGCTGCTAACTGAACCACAATGCTAACAGTACCATGCTGCTAATGGGATCATGTTGCTAAGAGAACCTCACTGCCAACAGAACCGCTCTGCTAATAGGACCATGCTGCTATGGATGTTTTTCTTTTTCACTTTTGGCTCTTTGATTTTGTATTTTTGTTGCATGCTTTGGTATTTCTTGTTGTTTTTTTGGCGAGTCAAGATGTTTTTTCTTGTCCTGAGCATTTCATTACATTGTTGACATTGTATTGATCTGCATATGACAATAACCTAATCTTTAGAACATTTAGGTCATATTTGTAAATGAGAACAAATATGTCACCTGGTAAAATAAAGGTCAAATAAATAAATACCCGATACATAAAAAACATTGCACAGTGCAATATTATAGGTCTTTGCTCCTATTGGAGGTTGGGTGGTTGTTGTTTTGTATTTAGGAAGAACCCACACTGAAGCCCAAAGAAGACAGACAGAGTTGGGGTAACCAGAACCAGCAGGCCAACAACTCCTTACCTCTGCTGTGCACCACCAGTAACAATCTGGGCACAAACAGGGTAAAGCAAACTAGCTTTGCTACATGATGATGGACACCATGGCTTGTTTGTATTCAACATTTGGTCGATGCATTTAACAGTCACATCCTGACCATTGTTAAAAATATATTCAGTATATATCACAATTCCCTTAAGTTATGTCACGAGTTCTATAGTCAACTATACCTTCATGTTAAGCTTGCTCAACACCTTGGCCCTGGAGAAGATACCAAATGGGATCTTGTTGATACGGTTGTGCTCCATGTTGAGGGAGTAAATGGTGGAGAACTGAGAAGGTCCACCCACAGGGTACGACTGGAAGCAGTTCCTCGCCAGTGTAAGACTTGTCAGGTTTAATAAACTCGACAGCAGGCCCTGGCCATGAAAAAGACGTAACAAAAAATTAGAGGATGGAAGCTTTCACTGAAAATATTATTTTTATACGAGATGACTATGGATGGATGGATGGCTGGAATAAAACATGTGGTTGATGTTTCCATACTTCACTGAGTTTCAAAAAACTTTATTTATACTTATATTTGAAATTTTAAAAAAATGTGTTCCACTTACTTCTGGCAACAGTGAAATGTTGTTATTTTCGAGGTTTAACTCCTCTAGTTCTCGACATTTGGCTAAAGATCTGGGGATCGCCGACAATCGATTATATCGCAGACCTAACCGATTTATGCTTGCCAAATTGCCTGAAAAAATAAAAATAAAACAAAAGATGTGTTCAATTATGTGTTTTCTATGCATTTTTTTTTACTGCTCTATTCCTTGTTTTTATAATAAAAATAACATTGATATAAAATATACATACTTTGAAAAACACTGTTTATAAAAAAATAATATACTGAAGGACTTAAATGCAAAGTCTAAAAGATATGAACATGCTACACTCAAATTACCAATCGTCTCTGGGAGGTCCAGGAGCTCATTGTGCTGCAAGTCGAGGTTGGTTATTTGTGTGCAATTTCCAATCTCCTTTGGTAGATGTTCCAACTGGTTATGGGCAACATCCAAAGTAATGAGGCAGCATAGCTCACCTGCAGAAAGATCCACAAGCAATTCAGCTAACCAATTCCATAACTAATTCTCGCTTAATAGACAATGCCCTAAACACAATATTGAGGGTCACAACAACATTTAGACATACAGTTGGAATTTATTCAAGCGTTAGCATGAACCCAACAACACCCAGCAGGACTGTTCCGAGTTTGAATGGAAATACTTACCTATCTCTGCAGGTAGCTGCTTAATCTTGTTCTCACGAATACTGAGCATGGTGAGCTTGGACAGGTTCTGGATGTCCTTCTCTACAGTTGTGATGCGATTGAAGCGCAGGTACAGCGTGGTCAGAGAAGACAGCCGATAGACGACAGGTGGGATCTCTCTGAGCTTGTTGTGCCGGAGGTCAAGCATTCGGAGCTTCTTCAGTGAGTCCAGGGAATCAGGCAAACTGGTCAAGGAGTTCTCACTGAGGGCCAAAGTGACCAAGCCTGATAGACAACCCACCTCAGCTGGTAGGCTCTGTAGCTTGTTGCTATATAGGTAGAGTTCAGCCAACTGAGTCAACTCCTTAATAGAGGTGGGCAACATGTGAATGGACCGTTTGGATAGGTCCAGCCTCATTGAATTCTCCTCCCGACACTTATTGAGCTCTTTGATAACTTCTGCATTGCTGGATTTCTTGCGTGTACCTTGTGCCGGATTTGGCCGCTTTATTGTATTGTCAACAGAGAAGGCAACACCCGGTGTTGAGCTGCTTGTGTCCTTCTTTCCTTCTTTGGCATCTTTCCCTTTGGTCTTTGTTTCTTTGCCACCGTCTTTGACTAAGCTGGCTAAAGCCTTGGCCTCTTTTTCCCTTTCTTTACCTGCCGGACCACCTTTGGGGTCTTTTTCTTTTGAGTCCTTTTCTTTGCCTAAAGTACTACTCATGTTGACGTTATTAGTAGCCCAGCAAAGATGCTCATGGGACTCTCTCGTCCTCAGGTTACTTATTTAGAAACAAAATAACATGAACAGTCAGATCTTTTAAAAGAAACATCCCCATGCAGACCAACACATTTAGGATGTTGCTTAAAATAAAAGCTGAATTATCCAAAGGTCTTTCAGATACTTGTGACGATGTTTTCCTTTGCTAAAACGGCATGACAGTATTCCTTTGACACAGGTGATCTGTGGCATCCATGGGCCACATGCTTGTCTTTGGACTGCACACAATCCCTGGCCCTTTAGAATGAAGTTCTTTCAGGCTTCCAGGTTCACCAAAGATTTGTTTCGATCCCTCTGAAAATTGCTGTTGGGAAGAAAAAAAGACATTTTGTTAACATTTATTATTTAAATTGCATGCCTTTGAAACATGTTGAATTTTTGAGTTTTACCGCTTGCTTCCATCTATTTTATGTTCTTTACCAGTTATTGTATGTTTTTATGATTAATGTTCTTCTGTCTTTATTTTAACCTGAACTTTTCTATATTTGATCTGGAACTTGGTGGTACTGCCTTCAGAGCCCTTGAAAAAGCCATCTTGCGATCTTAATGAGACTCATCTGGTTTAATAAAAAATAAAAATTCTGCTTTCATTCTTTCTCAACCTTTTTGTTTGTTCAGTGAAAAGCAAACTTGGGTCAGACTGTTATTTTTTTGTTAAAAAAAATTAAATGTAAACAATAAAAAAAGGTTTGCAGAGAAAATATGGTTATAAAAGAAAGCATGCAACTCAAAATACTGGAGACAAAAACTATAATGTGGACCAAAAAAAGTGTGTTTCTATTTTTATAACATCTGTGACAAACTGCAAAATGAAGCTTATGCTGGAAATAAAGTACACATCCTTGCTTCACAAATTCTAAATTATTTTTACTAATAGATTTGTGGAAAATAAATGCATGCAAACAAAATAACTAACGGAAGCTGCATTAAACAAAAGAACAAAAGTTACATGTATGAAGACTTTCAAGTATATTTGTCTCTACGCGTGAACCAAACAACTAAAAACAACTCTTTCACAGGCTTGGCGTCTTGTCTTTGCAACATGAGCTAAGCAGCACTACAGCAGACCACAAAAATCTGTTCATGTTACCAAAATTAACTGCACACCAACTTAATTTCAAATCAACAAACATGGCCTGACAGATGCTGAGAACACAATCACCTTCAACCTCTCTTGCTCAAAAGAAAAGGCGCGTTAAAACGCAGACGTTAAGATCTTTACATCGCAAACAGCTTTTCACTGGAAGCTCGTCTACACCGATGACTGTATAAAACAGCAAAAGCTAAGCCGAGTCAAAACGAAAAGAGAAGCCGGTTTGGCTCAGGATCTGAGCTGAAAGAAAAGGTTGAAACTGCTGAGAGTAATCTTTAGAAGTGGGCCTTCAAAGTCCTCGCCACAACAGGTCACATGACATTTTGCGGGAAAAAATAGTCAATAAATGCACCCTTAACATGAGAGTGACTTAAAGTGTATTATTTAAAAGATTTGAGTATTTGTTATTTGTTTTGCTCATTATAAATAACTAGTGTGGCTTCTAACAGTGGCTGCAACAGACATGTGTGCATAATTATTAGTAACAAATAAATGAGAATCCCCAGACCAACCGAACTGCCGGAGCCACGATGTAAACTTAGCAGCACAAGCCACTTCCTTATATGGTTGTACTTTTTGTTCCTGTCCTGACACAATACCAATAAAGCTGAAAAGAACCATTGTCTGTAAAGATTCTGTTAATCAATTTACAAACTGATGTTTTCTACTAAAAGGTCAAAAATGATTTTTTTTTTTTTTTACCTCCAATTACATTAAGCAAGTTTATTTTCTACTGAATATTTATTAGTGGCAATGACATCACGAACATGTTTACACAAAGTCTGACAACAACAAAAACAGAACCAAAAAAAAAAAAGTTTAAGCAGATCAACCCTTGTTTGTGCGCTTCATACGACTGTACTGTGACTTTTGGAAAATAACAACAATTTCAATGTCAAATAGTCGTTACCTCAAAGGAAGAAAAACGAAGAACAAAACAATTGGTAATCGTTTTGTTGGGGGAAAAACCACACATTTACATTTGACTTCTGGTAAAGCACTTTGCGATCTTCCTTCATTTAAAATTAGAGTGTTGCAAATATACTTGACAAAATGATTTCTCCCACAACAAAAAATACATTTCATGTCTCAACAAATAATGAAGGCTATACACTAAAAAAAATGTCTAAACTAATACATTATGATATATAAGCTTGAAAGTGTTTGGAAGAATTACACATGCTTAAAAAGCTACCAAACTTGTTCAGTGTGTATTTTTCTCCCCAACAGTTCAAGAAAATCTCTTCTATATACTCGGCATAACCTGACATCTGCTTACTGTGACTAAACAAACACAGCCCATGGAGTGTTGACATTAACTTACCGCTCCACCAAAGCATGCATTTAGCTATTTATCCAACAAAAGAGGAGGCATAATAATGATTAAAAAAAAATCAAAACAACCCATTAACCGTGTTTACTATGGTGGAGTTACAGAATCACTTTAAGGCTAAACAAATTATTTGCTTTTATCGGAAAACAGCCACTCTGTGTCCGCTTACAGCGTTTATATTACAACTCATAATTGTGTATTGTCCTAACATGTGGGTGAGTGTGGTAAGGGTTATTTTTATTATCTAATTGAAGTGCTTTGGCTCCTGATTTTACATAAGGCTAAACCAACACTGATCTAACAGTGACAATGCAAGCACTTTTGTCATTATGTGAATAAGGAACCACTATTCATGAAGACATGGAGCTAAACAAAAATATTTTAAAGAGGGATGAAAAAAAAAGCTAATGTGTGTCCATCAGCACCACCGCAAAGCCACCATAAAGAGCTACTTGGACTTCCCACACTCAAACTAATGAAGTTTCCATTAAGGATATCTTGGGCCCATCTACTAACACCAGTCCATTTGAAGGGGAGCAAACTCCCATTTTCCTGCTCTCTATGAAAAAACAAAAGATTTACACCGTTAGCTAATAACAGAACAAACATAACCTGGGCAATCAAAACAAACTTGTGTCAAAACGCAAAGATTTGCACTTGAAGCACTGATCAGTGTGCGCACAACTTGTGTTTACACCCAAAATAATGAGGACTTTGAGTCCCGCTTATTGAGTGCCTGACATATCAGAAGAATTGCGAAACAGAGGTGAGGTAGCTGCTGATACTACACAGCACCCCACATGACCCAGCTAGTTTACTTGCTACGTGTGCAGAAGACAGATTCTCACAAACAGATTACCGACAAATCGGTAGCCAGCAAGTCGGGAAGTCAAGTCGCTTTTACAGATTAATGTTTACTGAACACGGACGGCAAAGAAACTGACACGAATTGGTGACACCGTGCGATCACTAAATCTGACTAATACCTTCGATATAAACGCTAATAAATAAACCCTTTCATTGCGACTTAACGCAAATAGCTAATACACTCGTTAAATGGCATATGTTAATGCTTCATTAAGCTGATTGGGAATTCAATACATACAATAGAAGGCAATGAATAAAAACACAAATCGCAAAAGGCTGACAAAACGTCTTGCAACAAAGCAGGAAATAGCAGCTAAGCTAAACGTCAACAGCAAAGCTAACGTCAGTTCTACCAGACTGCTAAGCTGCTAACGTCAGCTAGCTTTAGCTTACAGGCTAACCGTAATAAAACGTTACGTTTTCTCAGGCAGGAGACAATAACATTACGTACAAACGGTTTGAAAAGCCAAAGTATACGCGGTGCTGGTGACAAGTGTGTAACGTTTAATACAAGCATCCGGAGCAGAGGTGTGTTTAACGTAGGCCCGAGCAGAGCCGCTGTGGGACGCAGAGCGAGCCCGTCCGACGCGACTACGAGCCGGAGACGGGAAATCTCTGCAGCAGCCAGCTGAGCGGCGGGGCAGCGGACAAGCCAGCGAGAACAGCCGGTGAAGAGCGTTAATGGGCCGAGCCGAGGTATCCAATAAACGCAGACTAGCTGTAACACTCTGCCTGAGCGCTGTTTACTTAAAGAAAAGAAGTGAAAGAAAAGAAGAAGAAAAAAACAGAAAACAGCGGCCATTCTGAAGCTGAACAAAAGAGTGCGTTCGCGTTCGCCACGGAAAAAATAACTCATTAGCGACAAACACAACGCCAACAGAAGCAGGCGACATGATTGTGTTGAACGTCGCCGAACCTTAAAGAGGGGATAAAAACGTCCGCCGTTAATGTTGGTCAAGGCTAAAACTGATTTACCTTCAGAGGTGTGCCTCCGCCATCCTAGCTGCTGCTTCCTCCTCTTTCCCCTACAGCGCTGCTCCGCTCCCTCCCTCCCCCGTCACCAAACTGCGTCATTCGCACGCGGAGCCGAAGTTATCACGAGACTTTGAAACGCGAGCACGTTTCGAGCCTTCCACAGATTTTTACCGTTTCTTGTTCACTCACACATTTTCATACAATACTGTACATATACATTTAGACCACATTCACCGTGAATTGTATGTTTGTAAGAACAATGCGCTGTTTAAACAAATACAAAATAATAGGAATATATAAATACAGAAATGAAAACTATGGAAAAACTATGGAAAAAAATGAAAGACACAAAAAACAATAATAAATAGATATATACAGTATATATTTTTATACATATATGCAGATGCTACTCATAACATTAGAATATCATGGAAAAGTTTATTTATTTCAGTAATTCCATTCCAAAAGTGAAACTTGTGTATTATATTCATTTATTACACACAGACTGATACATGTCAAATGTTTATTTCTTTTAATGTTGATGATTATAACTGACAACTAATGAAAACCCCAAATTCAGTATCTCAGAAAATTAGCATAGTACTTAAGACCAATTAAAAAAGGGTTTTTAGAAATGTTGCCCAACTATAAAGTATGAACATGAAAAGTATGAGCATGCACAGCACTCAATACTTAGTTGGGGCTCTTTTTGCCTGAATTACTGCAGTAATGCGGCGTGGCATGGAGTCGATCAGTCTGTGGCACTGCTCAGGTGTTATGCGAGCCCAAGGAATGCGACAGTTGATACCTATGTCTTGCACACGTCTGTGCGTGGTGGTTCTTGAAGCACTGACTTCATCTGCAGTGCACTCTTTGTGAATCTCCCCCACATTTTGGAATGGGTTTTGTTTCACAATCCTCTCCAGGGTGCAGTTATCTCTATTGCTTGTACATTTTTTTCCTTCCCTTCGCCCCTCTATTAATGTGCTTGGACACAGTGCTCTGTGAACAGCCAGCCTCTTTAGCAATCACCTTTTGTGTCTTGCCATCCTTGTGCAAGGTGTGTGTAACACAGGATGCTCTCCACTGCACACCTGTAGAAGGAGGTGAGGACTGAGCTTCCCAGACCAGCTTGTCTCAGCCGCCTGAGGAAGTAGAGTCTCTGATGAGCTTTCTTGATCAGGCTGGTAGTGTAGTTTCCCCAGCTGAGGTTGTCGTTCAGGTGCACACCCAAGTATTTGTAGCTGGAGACCACTTCCACCGCAGATCCTATGTTCAGGTGGGGGCAGGTGGGTTTGTTCCGTCTGAAGTCCACGACCATCTCCTTTGTCTTCTTCACATTGATGTGAAGGTTATTCTCCTTGCACCAGCTCTCCAGGTGTTCCACCTCCTGCCTGTAGCTGGACTCATCGTGGTTTGTGATGCATCCCACCTCTGCTGTATTATCTGCAAACTTTATAATATGACAGCCTGGTTGGGTAGGTGCACAGTCATATGTGAGCAGAGTGAACAGGAGAGCGCTCAGCACACATCCCTGAGGGGAGCCAGTGCTGAGGGTTATGGTGGAGGAGAAGTTGTGGATCCTCACAGACTGCAGTCTGTTTGTTAAGAAGTCTAGGACCCAGTTGCAAATGGAGGGGCTTAGTCCTAGTGCGAGTAGTTTGTCCATCAGGGTTTGGGGGATCATAGTATTGAAGGTAGACGTGAAGTCCACAAAGATCATACGGAGTTTTCATTTTTTCTTTTACCCTTTATTTATACAAGTAGTCTCACTGAGTCACGAGAACTCATTTTCAAGAGAGACCTGTGTGCATAAGGGTCCTTCTGATCCAGGTGGGTGTATAGGCAGCTTTGTTTACAAATGTATAAAAACTAAGTTTTTTATGTTGTGTGACATTAAATATGTAATTGTCTTTAATCTAAAATGCAATAAACATATTTTATGTATTAAATTTATTGAAGTATTACTTCTGCACACAAGCGTGCTTAAAAATCATGTGGTTCAGAAAATGCACTTACTTTCCGACTTTAAATAATTGCACTTTTAAGAGTAGATTTTACAAGTTTAATACGTTTAACAGCAATACGTTAGGAAAATATTTATGACTACATTAAGTAAAAATAATAAAATAAAACACGCCCCACAGTGTCAGGTGAATTTTATATTTCAGTTCCTAAACTGATCAGTAGGTGTCAGTAAAGTGTAGTGGTGTGGTTTAAAAAAAAAACAAGAGGACGAAGAAAGTCACGTGACAGTGACTGACGCGTTGGCTTGGCAACTGCTGTAATCTTTACCTGGAGCTAAAGGTTGGATCATGATTAAACGAGTAAATTTTGTTTCTTTGTAAAGACAACGCTATAAATTTTAACTGCCGTGTATTCTGACGGGAAGTCAGATAAATTTTAATAGCAGTTCCTTAACTGTTAAATGAAGCGGGCCTACGGGAAAAAGCTAATCGGTTTTGCTAACACACTACTCTGTTAGCTAGTTCTCGGTACTTTCTATTAACTCGCATAATAATCCGTTCACTTCTGCTGTTAAAGGCAACGCATATGTGAAGTTACAAGCAAAGGCTTGTTAACTCGAATGACGGCAAAACGTTTCTTGTAACAAGTCGTGAAAAATTATGTGGAGCTGCAAGCTTTAATTAACTAGATTTAGAATTTTAGATTTTAATTAGAAACAATATCAATGAGCGAATCTCCACGATGACAAATCCTGCTTCAAATTTGTGCCTTTTGTTGGGTTTTATGAGTCAGCGCTTATTATTAGGTGGAATACACCTACTTCTATTTGTTTTAGCAATAGCATTTGCATTAAGATTTCAAAAAAAAAAAAAATAATAATAATGTCTTTACCTTTCAGCACACAGCTAGAGGACACAATGCCTGAGGTCAAGTCAATACTGAGAGAAGTTCTGCCTAAACAAGGTTCGTACTGCATCAATTTGCTGTTTGGACAGCAGTCCTTACAAAAGGTTGTTTGTGGAGCTCCATACATGTGAACTGTTGAGACATTTGCAGAACCTTGCACATTTGGTCAAAGAATCTTCTGTGTCTCCTTTCTGCTATTGGTTTTCCAGCTCAGCACCACTATTACAATTCAATTCAATTCAAAAATACTTTATTAATCCCAGAGGGAAATTAAGTGTTGTCGTAGCTCATCATCTTGGTTTCGTTCAAGAGTTGTTATAGATGCTGAGCTGTGGGCAGGAAGGATCTCCTGCAGTGAATTCAAATAATCTGGCCACAGAAACCATCCACCTGGATCCAGCTTGCTGTCAGATCTGGTGGGCCTCTCGGTCCTACTGGGTAGCAGAACTGCCCGAGTGCTGGGTAGAATTCCTCCCTGAGCGACAGTCACTCCTCCCAGCAGTCTGCCGAGCTTCTTGTCACCACGGATAGCCAGCTTACGGTGTTGGGCGATGATCCTGGTCCTTCCGTTGTCAAAAGCTGAGTTTCCCACCAGCTCCATGATCTTGGTGGTCAGGTACTCGAGCACAACAGCCAGGTTGATGGAAATTCAACAACGGTGCCTCCTTTTCTACTTCTTTGGGGCTGTAGCTGATGTATTTGAGCTTTTGATGTTAATCAGATGCTCCTGGTTGTTAAAAAAAAACACCTTGTCGCCATGGTTACGCATCATAACAAATGCCCAAAAGTAGAAAAGTTTCTATAAAAATCCTTCCAGCTGCACAGCATCCAATACCAGAGGAAGTAATCATCCGAAAAAAAAGTGATTTACATCCAAAAAAAAGAGGAATTAAAGATTTCAAAAGCAATAACACAGAATGAAAGTTACAGAGCTGCTCCAACATGCAGCCACCCCGAGCGGCGCAATTCTAGAACAATTACAATTCAGTTAGAAAATATTAAATGTGTAAATTGTCTTGTCAGAATTAGAGTTGGACCTTTGAAACCAGGTACAGTACATCAGTGAGGCTTGCAAAATGGGTCTCTTATAAGAATTAACTGCAAGATCCACTTTACAGATCCCCCCCTAAGTTAAACTACAGAGAGCAGTCTTTGAGATAAAGTGTGAAGTCTGTGGAATTAAAAACAATGCACAATTTATTGGTGTATTTACATCTGAGCCAAACTTTTCAGCTGAATGATTTTATATGTATATATATAATTTCCACAGGGCAGCTTTCCATGGAAGACGTCCCAACCATGGTTCTGTGTAAGCCAAAGTTGCTGCCACTCAAATCAGTCACCCTTGAGAAACTGGAGAAGATGCAGATGGAGGCTCAAGAGGCTGTCAAACAGCAGGAAATGGCAATGAAGGAGCAGGAGCAGCAGATGCCCAGTTGAGGATTTGAAACAGGACAAAGTGACTTCAGATGGAGAGCGGAGGACCAGTCTATTAAACGCTAGTGAGAAAGCACTTTTGGGCAGTGATGCTCGAACTTCCTGACTTTTGGCTTCAAACTAACCAAAGAATTAAAGAAGTGTGAGTCAGCCTAACTGCTTCAAATATATATATATTTTAGTTATAGGTCAAACTGTTTAGTATGATCAGTTTTAGTAGTCAAACAAAGGCAGTATATTGGTGTGGGTATAACAAATTTGTATTTTGTGCTGTGTTGTAATAGACACTCAAGACTGAATATTTAACAGTAATTTAATCAACAAACAAGTAATTCGGGTTTAATTAAACTCCCTGTATACAAAAATAAAATTTATGTGATGATGATTTTATGTTTTTTGGGGGGATGGGCTTTTTAAATTACTTTTTACCGTTTAGCATTTAAAAGAAAATGTCAAGCAAAGCATAAAAAGACCAGCTAAGTTAAGGAACTAATATTTCAATTAACAAACATCCTCCTTTATTTTTGTTTTACAATTCATAAAGCTTTTAACACAAATGTTGTTATATCAGTACAAACATGTCTGGAAAAACAAAAGGAGAGGCAGCGAAACCAAAATATAAAATACTGTACAAAACAACATGGAATGACTGACGCTGTGAGGTGTGGCACTTTAAGGGATAGCTTATGTAAATATTTGTGTAGAAACACTTCGAGGAAAGTGATTTACTTCAGTGGAAATGAAAAGTGCAGTTTTTTTTGTTTTTTTTTTTACCCCACCTCAAATTCCAGAATTTTACTCATAGAAGGGAGAAAACTTTACTCGGCTATTAAAAAATATGCAAGTAAAAAGATCATTTCATCCTCTTCTTTGCAGGAATTCTGTCGCACAACAAGGCTGCCTCAGTACCGTTCAAGTCTGACGTTTTCAGCATCTCCCTCGCTGACAAACCTCTTCCGGCTCCTGACGGAAAGATCACAAACATGGAACAAAATGGCTAAAAACTTGCACATATGAATACATGTATTGCATACAAGTGTGTTCACAATTTAAAACAATACAAAACAATAAGATTACTTACCGACAGGGACACCGATCTCTCAACTTGACACCAATGATTCCCTTGCTAAAACTCTTGTCCACAAATTGCTCCAGGATAAAGTATGCACGGGGGACATCGATCTTTATTTCACCAATGTCCATGTAAACCCTTTCATAGCCCTAAAATAATGAAAGCAAAAGTACTTTAAACTGTCAAACTGTGCCAACAAATAAGCAGTCAAATCATATGCAGTCCTCAATTCAAACAGCAGGGGGCGGTCTTACCCTTTTCATTTGGTCCACAGTGATGACTGAAGACATGGAGAGCGATTTGAGTAGCTGTAGAACCAGTTTGAGCTTTTTTTCCCCTTTGGACTCCAAAACCATCACAATTGCCTAAGGACATCACCACAGTTTGCATTACTACACAGAACTGAGTAATATATTTCTACTACTTATGTGTATTTTTTTCCATTTTCTTTTACATAACGGTTGATTTAAATGCAGTTCGACACCCAAGCCACAGAAAGTGTTTACATTTTTGTATTTCTCCTTGATACCAAGTGTATCTTTATAAGAAGTTGTACATTTACCTCGTAGACAAACTCGTGGTGAAAATGGGGAACCTCCAGATCCTGAAGGCATCTCTCAGCTTCCTTGCTGTCTCCAGACAGGATGTATTCCTTCAGCAGCAGGTTCATCTGACAATGAGAATCTAAAGCATTACTCATCAATGTACTTCAATCAATTATTATACACAGTTTGAGATTTAACATCTACAATGTTTGCTGCACTGCCCAACGTGTACAGAATGTTCAACATACCTCTTTAATGAGTTGTGTGACAGGTTTCTGACCTCCACCTGTCCCCCAGTGGTTGTCTACGCGAAGCCCACCCATACTCATCTTCAGCAGCACGGCTGCTCGGTCTAGTGCCGCCCTGAGAATTCAAAATTAACACGGTTTATACCATGATGGAGAACTCCTTATGGTTATAGAAGCAGAATAAAAAAAAACGGCGTCAACCCCTAAAGCATGAAGTGTTGCTTTTAATTAACAACATTTTAACAAGTGAAATAAATGAATAAAATTCAGACTCAGCACTGTATTTTATGATAGATTTTTCTTTACAATCATCAAAATTACAGGAAAAAAAAGGGGTTGAAATATTTCTCTGTGTAATGAATCTAATTAATAAAAGTTGCACTTTCTGAAATTTTATATATATAAAAAATCTCACAATATTATAAACATTTTTTAGATGCACCTGTGTAACCATGACAACATGGCACAACAATTTCCTGCGGGGTCAATAAAGTTCTATCTTATGACAGCCATGATGACAGATGACCTGCTCGAGTTAGTGATAGAGATGGTGAAACCTTTGAGTACTGTATTACTTCAATGAACAGATAAGATTGATAAACAATAACATTGCCTTTAACAGAGCAGTGCAAAAAAAAAAAAATACACTAAAGGTTTCGATCACTTTATTTAACTCAATACTCAAAAGCAAATGTTTCAGAAACAAGTGCAAGTGTACACTTAGAAAACGTGGGAAATAAGAATTATTTTAAAAGCCCGACACTTGTGTATAAAATTTTAGTCCAATATGCTTTTAGCCTTGTGAGAAAAATCCTTCCCTCCTGGTGTCACTTTGTAAAGACTCAGAGCACCTGGAGCCATTTTCTTTTTCACAGACAGCTCAGGTGCGACATATTTTCAAGTCCCGTTAGAGCAAACTGTTTGCTTCAGGACTACATCTGCACGTGTCTTTTTAACATTTTGGATATATTTACAGTTTGTACAGAAGTTGCTGATGTCTTCTAATTATTTTACTTCCTGGATTTGCATGAATACAGATTTATTAATGAAATGCCATTATGTGCACAACAATAAAAACTGGTCCACTTAGTTCCATTCTAAACCATTCTCAGATCAACACAACAAACTATTTAAAACCAACAAGCTAAACCAAAAGCAAAAAGCAAATGTGAGGCATCCAAAGTCACGTACCTTGCATATTCACAATCAACTTTCCCTTTGTAGCCGTCAATGTAGCTCTTGGACAATATCTGGTCGCTAACAGCGCGTGCAATGAACTGGCCAACCAGCTGAAAGAAACAAACACCAGAGGTCAAAATGCAAACAATCCCAAACATACAGTTGTTGTAAAGTGTATTAAACCTCAAAACTAAACTTGGAAGTTTTCTCCCTCAACATGTTAAGTCTCTATGTTAAAAATGAACGGGGTCCACTTGGCTGTTTATTACAATGGAAACTGCACGACTATATTATTAGTATTTTGATACAGTGTTAACACACTGACAGAATGGATGACTGCCTCTGAGGCACGCGTGTTTTTGTTTACAGTCGTGACTTCTGGAAAACAACAGCTCACGTACACACGAAAAGCAGCTTCATCACAGCTAGCGATGCGGTGGCCAGACTGACGGGCGTACGGGGAGGGGGGGGAAACAAGTGTGTGTGAAAATGAGAGACTGAAAGGGCAGATGGTGGAGGAATGGGGGGAAGGGCAGACTCACAAAGCCCCTCAAACTCAGAGAGAGCTCAGACCGGGGCCCAAATGGCCGGTCAGAACAAATCTCACAGTGTAAGGAGGGGTGCACAACAAATAACCCTCTGATTGCCCTTTGCTGAGCTTGCATTTTACGAGCGCAGGCAGACAATAGCTAGAGGTTTTATGCCTGCGCCGAGTGAAAAGGAAAGAGCTCACGTACACTCACACCAGCTTTCTCTCGCAAACCAACACACAAAACCACAGCGTTATTTCCCCCCCGTCTGCTCAACCACAGGCTGCGTTAAAATTCTTCAGACTGAAACAAAACTTAGTGCAAAGTTTGGTTTCATAACGACGCTAACAGGAAAAAAACCCCAACAAGTTTTAAATTATAAAAGGACATTTACACATAAAAATGTTATTTCCAAACGCTTAAAAATGTAAATTAGTAACAGGATAGTGGCTTTCAGCTCTCATAGATATTATAAACTTTTGCTTTTATTTCTTTAAACATTCATCCGCACCTAATCGATTTTAGTTTATCAAAATTAAATGCAGTGTTACAAAGCCCACAAAAAGCATAGATCATTTGACTCCAGGAAACTCACCTGGGGAGCCCCTGGTGTGTCCAGGACCAAATCGGGCAGATCTCTGAGCAGTTTGTCAAAAGAGGACTCCATGTCGCCGCGGGACAGAACAGTCCCACACAGGTCAACCAGCAACCTGGAGGTGAGCTCGCGATGGCTGGCCTTGGCCTCCAGGGCCAGAGACACAGCAAGCGAGGGCACCTCGCTCCGCATGGGCCCCAAGTTCATTTCTGCAAGCAGCTCCTGGAAATGAAGCAGAATCTCAGCTTTAAGGGTGGGAGGTAAAATATAGATATTTTAGTTGCAGGGAAAATTCTGAATTGCTTTTAAACATCAAAAACCTGTACTGTCAGCATTAATGTGCCACTTGAAAAGAGTAAGCAGAACAGCAGCTGCAATGTGTGGTTTGTTCTAGTAAACTAGCTTCCTGCTGTAGAAACATGTAGTCGAGACGTTTTCACATCTTTGTCATGTTTTCTTCACTGAACACGCAATTTAATGTAAGAATATACAATAGTAATATAATAATTATAATATACATTTCTATTGATTAACAAGATGCTAATCGCAGTTGGTGTTCACGGTCATTGCTGGTCAGCAGCCTGTGATTACCATCCTTGTGCACTTTTTATAAGACATGCCAATATTTACCAAATCAGTCTTTATGTAAAATAAGCAGCAAATAGGCTCCAAGAAAGTCAAAATGTGTATCACAGCCCTTTAAATTGTAACCTAATCAAAACACGGTGTGTCAAAGACTCCCACCCCTGCACAGCTTACCAAAAAAAAAAAAAAAACGGATGGTTACAAAACAAAAAAACATTCTGAGAGCTTGTTTCCTACATCAAGTTACATTCTGTCGGACTTACAGCTACTTCATTGGTGTCTCCATGTTCGAAGTACTCTTGAACGATGGGTGTGACTGTCTTCTCGAAGTCCCTCTCATCCAGCGGGGGCACCACAGCCTCATACACACAGTTTTCCTGTCAAAACACAATCATATTCCAGGTCTTGTGTTTAGGAAGATCATTTTTGGTCTTAGAGCACTTTACAAAAAAGGTACAAGTTGAATTTCTGTGAATTCGTAATTTTCAGGCACGCATCAAATCTCAAACGAAATCATAAAAGCGTATTTTTTTTCGTGGTTGTGCACTGGCTTATTTGAAATCATGTTATTCCAAACATGCAAACGAACACAAACAGAGGTTTTTACCTGCGCGTCATCGTAGTTGGGGTCTTTCTCATCCACATCTACTGGTTCGTAAACTTCACCAGTTTTGCCCCACACACCTTTTCCTCCTGCCCCACCTGCAGAAAACAAACAGGGATAACGTTGAACAGGCTGCCTGAGATTAGTTCATGTTAATACAGTTTAAAATAATAAATTCAAAAGAATAACAAGAACTATAGGGTTTGATGTCGCAGATATATCTTAACTTGAAAATAATGAACTGGTCTTGCTAAAGAAAAAAGATCAGCGTCTATACGATGACGTCTCTAAAACGTGTTAAAGTTGATCTCTGCCAGACTTTTCTTGATCCTTAAAAAAAAAAAAAATTCCATTCTGAATCAGTAAGAGCTTGTTTTGCATTTATGACAGCAACTGTAAGAGTTGAGTGACTACAACTTGGTGCTTTACCCAAATGTAATGTTGCCTGTGTGCGTAAACACAACTGCTGTCCATATGCAGCGCAGTCTACATCTTTTGTGCAAGCACAAACAACAAACAGTTTGTAGGGTCTGAGGTCAGCACCAGCAGATTAGAGAAAAATTAGCAATCCTGATGCCAAAGCTGCTTAAACTTTAAAACCTGCATTGGACCCAAACAATATGTGGACAGAATGCTGCATTTAGTTATTTCCCCATTATTTTTAATGAACTGTCCAATAAACATGTTTGCCCACACAAACCCTCCGTGACTACCTGCCTAAAGTTTTAATGCTGAACAGCCCTGAGCTCAAATAACAGAGGAGCACTGAGGTGGCTGCACTGTTGTGTAATGAAAGAGGATGGGACTCTGAGCCAGGAAAAGAAAACTGGACATGCCTTTATTCTACTGCCCATGGGAAAAGCAAAGTGGCTGAACCCTGTTGCAGCCTAAAGAAACATCTAAATACTGTCCACAGAGCTAAATTGAAACCTGCAGCAAAAAGAAAGACAAATCGACATAAGCTACAATCAGTCCTGCTTACACATCATTATAGTGTTACCTGTAAGACAAGCAAGAGCCTGCCTAGCCAAAAGAAAACTACTTTTGCATTTGAATAAAACATGGACAATGATGTAGAGGCTGGTCAATATCCAACACGCTTTAATTATTATGTGCGTAGATATCAGGATCTGTTTGTATGAAAGTATAATAATAAACTTCCTTACATAAATACACGCATCTATTATTAATATCAGTTTGCCTTGTTCACAAGATCACGTCTCTTTAGCAACACAGAGACAAATGTCAAATAAAAAGCCTTAAATGACATTTGATATCCTTTAATACAAGAAGCAAAGTTTTCAAGCAAACATAAATAACTTCAAGCATTCACATTATTATTGCTAAGGAGAGCAAATCCTTGCACAGTACAGACAACGGTGTCGCGTTTTTCTTCTACACTGTAAAGGAAATTTCCAGAAAAGCTTTGCAGAGCAGATGGCAAGAGAAGCACATTAACAAGGTGTGAGCTGCTCAAGACCAACTGGCCACTTGCTTACACACCAATAGCTTTATGGCTCGTCCCTGAAAGTCAAAAAGTGATGATGACAGCAGGAAACAGTGATGTAGTGCATTCCTCTCTGGGACGTGCACCAGCCAGACCTCTTTAGCTGCTATAATGATGATGATTGCCCTTTGAAAAGCTGAACCCACACAATCCCTTTGTAAGTATTAAAAAAAAAACAGAGATCCAACCTTTCTTGGGCAGGCCTCTGCCCTTTCCCATCCGTGACTTTCGGTCCATCAGCTTGCTCTTGGGACTTGTAGGCACTGCAGAGGTTCCCCTATTCACATCCCCATTGTCACTGAGGGAGTCCCCCCTGCCTGAGTCCCGGGAAGAGTTCTTTCTCAGCTTCCGCTTCGCCTTCGCCTTGAGACGTGCCTCGTGGATGGCGTTGCTGGATGTGGACAACCAGTTACCGTTGATCTCGCTACTGACGTTTCTAATGAAGACAGCATTGACTCCATTGTCCTCCTCTCCAGAATTCACCAAGTCGCTGAGGTCGTCAGCCCCTGTTGGGAGTAGAATTACACCAGACCACACAATAAAATGAGGGAGTTGTGCCAGATATTGCAAGCACATCTACCACTTCCGCATGAGGGAGTCCCACTGGCCTACATCAGATACAGCTGATGAGGCATTTAAACGCTGATGTGTGTGTTTCACTCACCAACAGGGTTTGCGTTCAGCCAAGCCTCGCAGTCAGTTGCCATGTTTTACAGTGGAAAGAGTTCTTCGCAGTAACAACAAAAATCCCACAGGCACCTTCAAAACATTAAAAAGGAAAGTTATTACCCGTGTGGTGAAGATATGTAGAAGATATGTCCAGACATGTTGGAACTTAACGGTTCCAGTCCCTGCCCCGCCCCCCTCTTCATTCACGGACTGTTGATAAACAATGGCGCTGCAGCTAGCTTCAACCGTCTGTGCCGTTTTAAAACACAGTTTCATACATCTACGCATACTTGAGAGAGCTGCTACTAAATGAATGAAAACCTATCCCTGACTTGTAAGTAGCTGTTTGTATGTTGCTAACATGTTTGCGCAAACGGCTGCAAAAGCAAAAAAATAAATAAAACGTCACACTCGATGTACCGCAGCTTTTATTTCAACGTAAAAAAACCTAGATTCATAACAACGCAAACATGTAACACGTGTAAACAAAAGCTTACCTTTATTAGCTGTTTTAATAAGTACTTCACTGTGAAATTGCCAGCCGTCTTCCAAACGCAAGCTACTACAAACTCTGTCTCGAACGCTGTTGTTTTTGTTCCACTTACCCAGCAACGCAGTCAAAATTTAGTATTTTTCTTCTCTGATTGGTCGAAGGGAGGGGGACCGTTCATCGGACAGCCAATCAAAATGCAACACGGGATTTTTCTTCTCGCAAGTTCCATGAGGTGCGTTTGTTGTTTTAAGTGCTGCCTCCTGTCGGCATTGCTGTAGAACTGCAGGCTTGGATGTAAATGTCGTCATTCAGTATAATCGAGATATTGATGATGAAAATGACTAAATAATATTGACGATAATAAATAATTATAAAATAAATATATTTGTTTTTAGTGTAAAAATAAATTAACTACAACAATGAACTGCCATTATGCAGAAAATAAATAAATTGATAAAAAATATTGTAATATTTTCTTTTGGAAAAAAAGCTAAGATTTTCTTAACCTTTTTGCCCTGCACATTTATTAAATTTACCAAACATAACCTTTGTGCTACACCAAACCTACTTGTGCTTACTAAACATAACCTTTGTGCTATATCATGTGAGATGGTGTAAAATTGCATCATCTCTCAATAACTGCTCAAACTTAGACATCTGGGGCATTTCCCCCCTAAACAATTAAAAATATATTTTTTGCACAGACTGCATTGAAAATAATTGCTTAAAATTAGTCACCTCGTGACAAATGTGAATACATCTGAATGCAGACATCCAAGACAGTAAAACTGTCAAATAAAACCCAATGTAGTCTTGGTCATAAACATTGTGGTAAAATGATCCCCAAAACACTAAAATAGTTTTGGGCTTAAATACATAGTGTGTGCATATTGCCTGTATAAAATATGACATAAAATATACCTAACTTAGATAATAAATGAGTTGAAAACAAAAGTGAAAATTCCCCCAAAATGAAAAAAATCAGCTACTGGCACAACAGAGCACAGCAAACATCAGAACTTTTATGAAATAGAAAATGAATATTGTTTGATTTTTATAACATTATTTTAATTAGATTATAGAATGCATATTGCTTGGGGGAATTTTCAATTTTGTTTTCAAGTCATTTATTATCTAAGTTAGGTATAT